TACTACAGCTTTCATTACATGTGAGTTTATTTTTTCAAATATTTGTCTTTCTACCTTTTTACTCTGCACCAGGTTTTCATAAGGACAGGAATTGCATTTAACTGTGATCATTGCAGCTACTGGGCACAGGCCACTGTGCTTTTGTATTTGTATGCATTAGTCTTAATTTATGGGCAGCCTATTAGCAGGTATTTTAAATCTCATTTTGAAGATGAAGAAACTTCAAACAAGGGAGACTCAGTTGTGTGTCAGGAGACACACAAGTTTTAAACAGAGGGTGTGTGCTCTTTCTCTGAATCTCTTGTATCACAGAGAAATGATAGACAGATAGATGAGTAGAGAGATGATGGATGGCAGGTCAGCAGTGCTAAGAATATCCAATTGTCCCATATCAAAAGTAATACCTTCCTTTATGAGGAGTTTTCCTCTACCCTGAATTAAGATGTGGAATAATCCTCCCTCTATTATGGAAAAGTCACATTCCTTCAGCCTTCATTTCAGTCAGGCCAAAGGAAACATCACTTAGGGAAGACTCAGATGAACTTTGTAGTAAAAAGATCTGTTTCATATCCTCTTTCTAAGTAGTTACCAAGTTTCTGTACTGAGCCTTGAGTGACTTCACTTCATTTGGACTGTGATGGTCTCATGGTCTCCCCTCAAAGGCAGTATAGCCTACACCTCCATCACTGGTGGCAGAGCAATGTGAGCTGATAAAGTTTGGCCCAACAGAACATTTGTCCATTTTCTCTGATCTCAAAAGACTTAAAGAATCTGTGAAATTGGTATCGTCTTGAGGAAAAGGCTCCACATGATGCCTCTGTTCTACTCCCAACACTCTGTACACCTGTGTGCAGCCACCATTCCCTTGGTGATGCAGCTTGACTGGCGTGGTTGTCCCTTAGAGACTGGCATGTTGCTTCTTGACAGTTTTACATGCTGTTTGTTTTTCATGACATTAGGGTGACTTTTCCTTTTTTCTACTGGTGGTTGACACTAAGACAGTTCACTCTGCATCTGTCTTTATGTCATGACTGAGATAAAAAGTCTCTACCAAACTCAGAAAGCCTCAAACATGCCAGGCAAACCATCTTCACAAGGTCTTGTAAGTCAATTCTCAATGTTCTCTATCTAGGCAGAAAATGCTTGGCTGGATTTGTATAAACCTTTCTGTTCTGTCCAAGGGAAAAGTTCTGTTTCTGGCCCACCTGGCTCCATAGACAGAGCAGATGGGTAATTCTTCATCCTCCAAGGAGAGGTATACAAGGGAGATTATCAAGCACATGTAGCAGCAAAAACTCCTAAGTACTGTGAATGAGACATATCAGTAATCATTTTCTCACACATTCCCTCATAGCAGTCCAGGCCCTGAGTCCCCTGCTATCTTGAAAATAATTCTTGGAAGATCAAGTCTAAAGAAAAAAGTAGACTGGATGTTCCAGGCCAGGTTTCCTATTAGCAAAGGTCAATGTTTACTCGAGACAGGAAACCCCACATCCTGAAACCTCATTCATTCACAATCCATAATAAATGATGTTCTTAGAACCTCATTTGAGAAAGGCAATCAGCTATACACATTTTGGCAAAACTGCAGACCTGGGATTCAGTTTGAACAGCTATAACATAAAATAATAAAGTATGAATGCAAACAGCAAACATGTGCCCACATCGCAGCTCAGAGTATGCCAAAGCTGACCTAATCATTATACATTTTTCATGATTCAATAAGGTTCTTAACTGGCATTTCATGGGACACTGCTGGATCAGGGCTTGTGACATCAGGGCTGGCACACAGTCCACATCCTGCGACCCTGGCAGCTCCCCATCTTCCCCATTAGCTCAAACCACACAAAGAGACGGGAGCAAGACAAAATGAGACACCTTCCTTTTTTCCAAGTGTATTGGACTCCACCCAAGAAAGGGCAGGTTTATGAAGGATGTGGAAAGTGTTCCCAGCATCCCAGGATTGTGTATTCCTCTAGGGAAATCACCCGAACCACAGCCATTTGGACAGCTATGTGTAGTCTACAGGTGCTCTTTCACATATTTTCTTTTAACCCTTACCCTAAGTACTTAGGAACCTGTTTTCATTGTTCCCCCACCCACCCACCCACACCTATAGATCCATAGAGATGTCAAGGGACTTGCATAAGGATAAACAGCTGGCAAGCAGTAGGGTTGGGGCTGGACCCCAGTCCCTTACACTTCTTACACCTGTGCTGTAGATGTCTCCCATTCATCTTGAAGATTCCCCATCAGTCTAATTTTCTACCTTAAACTTGGGGTGTCAAGGCCAGGAACTTAGAAAATATCTCGGTAGAAAATTTATTCTAACACTCTGGGTAGAAAGAAGCTGAGTTCAAACTGAAGCAGGACAAAAACCAACTGTCCCATCTAGTTTGCACAGAGAAAGATAACAGGTCAAAAGAATATTTCATGGTGGTCAGGTTTATGCTGCAATTCCAAAGAGGTGATATTCTCAAGGAGGGAGACTTCTAGGATTGTAGGGGGCATAATGGGGGCATCTGTTACACTGAGTGTATTCTATCTAGCCCTGTTCTCTTTTGTCCTGCCCTGTAAGTTTCTGGGACACTGTTCAAAAACAAGGAAACTCAGAACCTAAGCTCACCTCTGTTGTCTTCTCCAGAGGTTTGGAAAGACACATGAAGCCTCTTTCTGTCACTTTTGTGTGTGATGAGAAAGAAGGCTGAATTGGGAAGTTCTTGGGAAATTCCTAATTAGAAGTATTTCTGCTTAAGCTCTTTCGGAAGTCTTTGGTAGCCTTTAGAATTTAGAGTCTGGATTAAGCCAACTGCCCAGAACAGATATTGAGACCTGGCATCAAAAGCCATCATCTGAGATTACTCCAAATTTTCTCTGAGTTCATTTTTTAAAGTATTTGATAGTTCTAACTTCTACAATGGATTTAGATACAGGGCTCTTAGAAGTACTTAGTGGGGGTCAAGCACCTCAAGTTGACTCAACTTGAATGTTCCACAACCAAACTAACTGGCAAGAGACACACTGGTGTTATTTTAATGTTCTAGTTAATTGGAAACTAAGTATGGCCTAGTGAAAATAATTAAATCTTTCTCTGATAATGGAGAATCGTGCAGTGCCCTAGAGTGTTCATTCTAAATATCAATTATAAATCCCCTCTGGGAGGAAGACAGAAGATGACGCTGAACCTGCAATGGCTTCCAGCCACCTGCAGGACATTAATTTTCACTGAGCTCTTGATGCCAATCTACCAGCATCCTTCTTTTTCCAGACAGCTAGAACAAGGAAATTCTAAGCAGCCAAGGCTTTCACTCCTGTGAGCAACAGTTCATCAAGAATTCTATATAACTTCAGAAATTACAGCGAAACTGAGAACATTGACTTGTGATACCTGACTGCCAAAGCATCTAGCCACACAAATGCCTGTAAGATATACTTCACAGGTTTGATTTGAGGTTGACACCCACCTTCCACACCTCTGACCCAGATGTGTGCTTGCCTTGTATGCATCACATACAATGAGACAAATAACATTATATAACTGGACTTTGGGTCTGGGAGGATGACTCAGTGAGTAAAGTGTTTGCCATGCAAACATAAGGACCTGAGTATGATCTCCAGAATCCACATACAAAAGCCAGGCATGGTGGCATGTGCTTATAACCCCAACACTGGGGAGTTGGAGCCAAGCAGGTTATTGGGATTTGTGGCCAGCCAACCTTGCTGAATCAGCAAGCTCTGGATTCAGTGAGAAACCCTGCCTCAAAAAAACAAGGTGAAGAATGACCTCTGATGTCCACATCTACATGTGCACATGGACACATGCACATGCTGAAATACAGAACGGAGAGCACGAAAACTATACACACAAATGAATTTTTGAAGTTATTGAAATGCTATCCCAGGTGCTCCTTTTCAATAGTCATGTGTGATACTGCAAACTCATTCCATTTACTTCTGGGACTTAACTCCTCTGTATAGGGTTCCTCAACATTTTAGAATGCCGGTTTCCTCCAAGTTGCAGGAGGAAAAAACAAACATTTTTCATAGTAGGAAGAAAGGAAAACATGCAGAAGGCTTACAAAGTCTAGTCCCCTGCTCGGGATGGCTGTTGTCTCGTGACTTTTGTTGATAACATTCAGGTTCAAGGCACCCAGGATAGAAACCATGCAAGGCATCTTGAGCACAGATCACCACCGAATTCCACAAAAAGCAAGCATGTTCCTAAGTAATTTTCAACCTTAGCTGTGTGTTAAGACCCATGAATTTCCAAACTTTCAATGAGGATTTCTCCCCAGAACAATGAATCCACATCTTTTGGGGGGGGGTTGGCATCGTAAACATCAGTATTTTCAGCATTATCTAGGTGACTCCACAGTGCAAACACATTTGCAAAACACTGCCCTGGAAAAAGTCTTCTCAAAATTACCAATGAATAGCATCACCATGGAGAAAGCCAATTCTATGTCTCCAGCCCCTGATTGGTTCCAATGCCTTCCGGCCACATCTGGCCTGAGAATACATGCAGTTAGCATCCTGGGCTTGTCTGATGCAGAATGCAATTTGGAAACTTGTTGAAGGAACCATTTAGTGCGAGAAGCCCAAAGAAGTCTTCTCCCTAGCTACCCATTTCTCCCACACAATTCTTAAGGTTTTCAGCCTCGTTCAATAGCTTTACTAGACATCCTTCATTTGCAGACAGGCTTCCCCCTACTCCCCCCACCCCCGCTATGTTTCCCATATCTAGCAAACTTGTATCTTTTAGCCAGAGCCTTTGATCCCACCAGGTTCAATAATTTAAGCAGAGCAATCATCAGCATTGTTACGTTTAATATTTAAACACCGTAGCATCACTTAGGGCAGCTTCAAGGTGAGAGCTAGTGCCTATGCTGCTGCGAGCTTAGCAAACCAGGCCACTGGCTGCCAGAGGGGCCTGAGTGTTCACACACCAACACAGGTCAGCAGGGCAAAGGCAAAAGCCCACCGGCTTGTGCACTTCCTACCTGAAGTGTATGCAACAGCACCTGCAGGCCACTGCCTTCTTGTTCAGCCATCTCTGCTCAGGTCCTGGGGCACCAGTGCCTGAGACTGGATCCTGGCTAGAGAGGGTGATACCTGCCAGGCTGACCTCACTGCCTGCCTTGCAGGAGACTGCTGTGCAGAGGCCTCAGCTACACAGGCTGCAGAGTGTGAAGTTACCACTGTGCAACCTTAGCCTTCAGCACAGGCGTGGATGCCCCCTGACTCCCACTGTGAGGATTATGTGAGCCCTGGCTCTCTCTGGGAAGGGCTGAGCATTTGGATGCAGGAGAGGGGAGGGCACCCTCGTGAGTCACTCACCCACCTCCAGACCCATACAGGAGCCTAGAGGAAAAGCCACCCTGGATGGTTGACAGGCATTCCCAGCTGACCTGGTCAGACTCCCTGCAGAGGTTCACCCGCCCGCCCCACCCCAACCCCCACCTCACCCTACGCACACACTTATTTTGGTCTGTTGCCGGCTCCTGGTTGTAACAGGAGACCCAAGAGTGCTTGCACAACTGTGGCAGTTCAGGGCACAGAAGCCCAGGGCCCCCTGAGGTCCCAGGCTTAGGGAACAGAAGCTCTTGCTGAGAAGGAAAATAACTACCCTGGACGTTTTTATGGATCAAGTCTTTTACATAATTCTTTCATTTCCACAGTAACTGTGGAGAGGTAAGTTTTATTATGACTACCTTTGTTTTGCAGATGAGGAAACCAAGGGAAAGAGATATTAGGTGTCAGGAGCATAGAGTTTGGGAGTTTATGCCTGGCCACAAACAACCAAGCTTGCAAACACTAACACAATTCAGCCTCCTGGAGCAAGCAAGCATTCTTCAGAGCAAGAGACCAAAAAGACCGTACCATGGTGGGGGACACACACACACACACACACACACACACACACACGCACGCACGCACGCACGCACGCACGCACGCACGCACGCACGCACGCACATACACACATGCCCTCCCAGGTGACACTTCCTGCAGAGCTGGGAACTCTCAAGAGCACCCCAGGCATCTAGCCTGTGGCTGCCCAAGTGCTCTGTGGCACAACTGTGTAGGTTTGCAGGTCCTACTTGGCCTGAGTGTCAGTTCTGAGTCAGGGGTCAGGCATGGCCAAAGTCTAAATTCAAGGGTGAATTGTTATCGTTCTTGCCCTTCAGAAATTTCCATGATAATTGCCAAGTATCCTGTTGCACTGCAATACTCTCAACTAAGGAAGGAAGAGGATCATAAGTTCAAGGCCAACCTAAGCCTTGTGTGAAATCAAGGTCAGTCTTATTTGTGGGGTTGGGGAGGGCAGGGGAGGGGAAGAGAGGGAAGGGAAGGGAAGGGAAGGGGAGGGAAGGGAAGGAAAGGGGTTTTAGTGGCTTTAATTGCAAAGGCCTCCCATCCATTTAGGTTAAAGTGCTAGCACTGGGGTAGTATGCTCTTCTGCTCTTTGCATCCAAGTGAGGATTTTCCTAAAGGCAGGAGCTAAACTCAATCCTCCTGGGTATAGCATCTTATCCAGAAGTAGACTGAAGTAAGTACCATTGAAACACATAGGGCAGCCATGAAAAGAAAGGGCACCCCCTCTCTTGGGCAGGTCTTTGAAGAAGCTGCCTCCTTGCCTGCATTCTCAAGGACGTTAGGGGACACAGACAGATAATCCTAGAGGAAGCCCAAAAAGAACTGCTATCTGGATTCAAAGAAAGAGGCAATGCTCTCCAGAGATTCTGAAGTCCCTAAAACCACCTGCTGATTCAATTGGGGGGGCACATTGTCTGGAAGCCCCACTGCCGAGAGGGGCAAACCATGCCATAGAGACAGAGCTTTGTGGGAAGTTTTATTGGGGGAAAGCAAGAGAATAGGGAAGGGAAGGGAGAAAGTTGAGGGGGGCACAAAGACCTGCCTGCCTCTTCAGAGGAACAGTATGAAAAAGAGAGTGGGAGTGGGCGGAGCCTGTCTCTTAAAGGACCTTTTGCACCTTCCTACAGAGTCAGGGTACTGCCTGCCATGCATGCAGGGATGACTCACTTTGCCAGATCCCCAAGATTCATGAGAAGATTCATGGGGCTGATAGAGCACAGTAAAAGGATAAGAGTCAAAAAAGAAAGCTGAGAGTGGGTTTGAGCTAGCAGTGTCTATTCAGGGACTCGTTTAGCCAGCATTTGTCCCTACCACCACATTCAACACACACACACACACACACACACACACACACACACACATTCTCTCTCTCTCTCTCTCTCTCTCTCTCTCTCTCTCTCTCTCTCTCTCTTTCTCTCTCTTTCAAACTAACCAAGGAAGTTTGCCCACATCTGAAGGCCAAGGGTTTTCCTGGGCATTGATCATGTAGATAAAGCTGGCCTTAGCCTCCAGCACCTCCAGAAATCAAGCTGATACTTCACATGACCCAAGACCCTAACATAAATCCCACTATTTGCATAAACAGTTTGGCCAGGCCCAGAATCTGAGGTAAACAGACCCTCTTATAGACAGAACATTCTAAGAGCGCTGAGCTTATCTCCTAGGAGCTGGAAACAAGGGTCAAATCTTTATTTGGATAAAATCAATTCTTTGCTGAACAAATGCTTTCTTATCCCATAAAATCAGGCATGAGATTCTTGTATCTTGCTAATAAAATGAAATAATGCATATAGGCCTATATAACTCAATTAGCTGGCAGCATGCTAATGCTCAAATTTTAGTAATTAATACATTTCACTGGAGTAGAATATGTTTTCTAACCGTGTCAGGAAAGGAAACTTCATGGGTTTTTCTACCCATCATTTTTATCAATGACTTGAAGGAAAATGTTACAGACTTATCAGTTTTCTTATGACACCAGTTGAGAAAGGTAGAAATACATCAGATGACACAGTTGGGCTCCAAGTAGATGTCAGCAGCCTTGAGTGATAAAGCAGGTCCTACACGATGAAACAGTGCAGAGCCAGGTGGAAGCTTCTCCCGTGGGCCCTCAACATCAATAGTGAAAAACTGAAGTTGGACAACTCAGTGAACTGGTATTGAATATGAAAAAGGCTTGAGGGTTGTCTAGAGGTGAGACCAGGTTGTCAGCATGGCCCTATAGTCCCAAAGTGTTGCTCCAATCCAAAATCATCACATTTGAAGGGGGGTGAGTGTTGTCTCTGTTAACAAGAGGAAGTGAAGCTGGATGAAGATCTCATCTGAGAAGAGGATCAGTGTGGTACCCAGCATTGAGGAGGTCTGTGTCATCAAAACTGGGTGTTAGCATCCTAGACAGCAGCAAAGGGACTGTCCTAGCTCCAACAGAGGAGAACCCCAGATTGCTCAAATATGCCCAGCTTCTAGAGGCACATGGGTACCCACAAAAACCCAGCAAAGGCATGTGGAGGATGGTTTGGTCTCAAAGGCTAGAAACATGGCCATTGGGTAACACCAGAGACACAAAGGAAGACCTGCACCGAACTCTTCCAGACAGAAACTTACAAGGCTGATTCTCAACAATAATGCCCATTGTGGCCCGGAAGAGGTATGTTCAAAACATAGCAAGAGAAAATCCAGGACTGAATGACCCAAGACAGACTTCAAGTTCAGAAGTTTATTGAGATGAGGAGAAAGAGCAGTGCTCACTCGCCCCAGACCACATAGCCAATAGGTGACAGCAGGAGGTAGTTTCTGTTCTTTTCTGTTCTCTCAAAGTCCCCTCTCCATGGAGGAAAGTTCATTGCAACTTGAATGAATTCCTGAAACTTAGATAGGTTTTATCTCAACCTATCTTAAAGATGTACCTGTGTGTACACAGACAGAGAGACGGAGAAATAGAGAGAGAGAGAGAGAGAGAGAGAGAGAGAGAGAGAGAGAGAGAGAGAGAGAGAGAGAGAGAGAGAGGGAGGGAGGGAGGGAGGGAGGGAGGGAGGGAGAGAGAGAGAGAAAGAGCACCATCTTTCCAGGCCTGAAGATTTCCCCCTTGAAAGGTGTATTTTATTTTATCCCTAGCCTCCATATATATTTTACTCAACAAACCTGTTTTCTGATATATTAATTCCCAGAATGAATGTTAAAGATTAGAAATGAGGGCTGCTGAAATGACTCACGGGGTAAAGTCTTTGTGTGTTTATTTGGGCCTAATCGGCTGCAGGACCAGGCTGAAAAGAGACTCTAGAGATGGACATCCCCCAAGGCCCTTTCCAGATTTTCATTGAGTGGAAAGGCTGAATGTGGAAAAGCATCAGGCAGGAAAATTCTCAGGGGATTTAAACTCTCAAATGGCCTAACAGGGTTGCTTGGCTGGGACTGGAGAGCAGTGTAGGTTCACAGGAACATGCCCTGGTGAGGCCATGAGGGCAGACTCCTCGGAGAAGACAGGGACTTCGATGTTCATGAATGCAGGTCCCCTCTGTGGAAGGGGACAGTGAAAGCAGAATTCCTTCTGAGCTGGTCTCTCCTCTCTAAATCCAGAGTGTCTGTGTTCAAACTCTTGTTTTCTTGTCCGCTAGAAGCAAACGAAGTTCTCGGTGACCCAACTTTCTCATCTGTTAGTGCGAGGGTGACAGTGTCTAGCTCACAAGGTGCTGAGAGCACTAATGGGAGAAACAACCACAATGTTCTCAGCACAGTGCCTGGTGATATATAAATATGTTGCTACTGTTATTGCTACTGCCATGAAGCCAATAAAATCTACCTCAATTATGATGAGCGTATTAAGAGTAGTACCCAGAGGGTTTTTTCCAGAACATCCTACAGGTTCCAAGTCAATGACACTCAAGATCTTCGTAACCGACCTGGGATACTGTGTGCCTTGTGCACATCTTCACACAGACCTTAAATCATCTCGAGATTACTTGAATCAGCTAACACAAGAGAAAGAGTTGTTACTATGTTATTTAAAGGGTGATGACACGGAGAGTCTACACGTGGTCGATGGAGATATAATTTTCGAAAGGTTTCGGTTTATGTTTGGTTGAATATACAAATGCACAACACTGAGATACAGAGTCAATACCACAAGTGGAAGGTGATGAGTGGGTGGGAAATTTCTGAGCAATGTGGTCTGGGTGGAGGAAGTGGCACAATATCACTATGACCTCCTGTGACCACATGGTTTGTGCATTGTTGCAGATTCCAAACAGGGCAAACTTACTCGGCCTTGCTTGGGTGGTCTCAGAGAGCTGGAGGTCTGTATGAGGAATTGAAGGGAAGCCTACTTGCAGGGGTTATAGGAGGAACAACACTTTGCCCTTTGGAAAGAAAGCAAACTCAGAATTTAACAGCAAGAAAGCGGAGACATCATAGCACATCCACCACAACCAGATCACTGAACACCTTCTGCATGCTCACTGCTATTTTTAGACTACTTCATGGTGCCACCATGTAGGAGTTGAACTGACTGTATCCCTCGCTCAACCAGGCCTTCTCTCTTTGGCATCTTACTAACCTAATATCACTGTACCAACTGGAAGATTTAAATGTTCCTTTTCATATGTCTCTAGAGAACACATGCAAATAACAAAGTGGTAATTATATGTTATGATTCTTGGTTGGTGTGGGTACTCCATCACGAGACCCTGAGTCCATTGGAGACCTCTATGTTCATAATGCCCAGCATAGCAGTAGACACATACATTGGGTTTCAGTGGCTGCCGGTGAAAGTGGAAAGTCCCACCTCTGAGCTAGGTTGTATATATAGGCCAATGCTCACAGTCTTGTCAGCAAGAGGCATCTCAAAGGTCACCATACCCTTGGCCCTATGAGGCAGAAGGCCAGCTCTACTCAGCATCTACTCAGGACTTCGCTGTTATGGACACCTGACAGACTTCTTCAGGGAAAGCCAAGAAAAACCTCCCTCCAAGCCAGTCTCATCAGGAGCCAGGCCTACAGTGCTGACAGGCGTGGAATGTCCATCAGATCTTGCAGCTTAGCCAGCACAGGGGCTCACAGCTTTTGAGCCCCCAAGAAGAAGTATCAGATCACAAACAAGCTGGAGACAAGGGCTTCTCAGGCCAGGCTGCCCAGAGTGAAATGGAGGAGGAATAGAGATATCAGCCATCAGGGCCGTCTATCCAGATGCTTCCCTCTTCCTCAGCAAAGGATGAGAGATTGCTAGCCAGGGTTACAGGAACCCAACACCAGCCTGGACAGGGGCATGGGTTCACTGGGAAAGAGCTATGAGGATAAGGCTACACTCTGGCCTGTGGCAGGTCCATTCAGTCATGGCTCCACATATATATATGTGTTAGTCAGTTCTACAGTGTTAGAAGTGTGAGAAGCTCTGTAGCACAGCAGCCAAGAATAATATTTCTAGGCTAGGATCATAACTTCAGTTTACTTCTAGGTGCTTCCAGTTCTACTCAAAACATGTAACAAGTTATATAAATTCTATGTGCCTCGGTTTCTCAGTGCTGAAGCAAAAATGGAAAAAAAAAGGTTGTAGAGGTATAAGTGAGCACTACATGAAAAAAACCTGTATCCCAAGGTCAGGCATACTAGTAGTTATTATTTCAAGCATTGAGTTGGCATCTGATGGTCAAGGTGAAAAATTCAGTTCCCACCCTCAGTGATTCTGATGCTGTACTAACTAAACAACTAATTAAAACTTCTGATAGAGCTTTCCTGAGAAGCCCGTGACCTGGGGACCATATCTGACACTCTGGATTTCCCTTCTGCCATATGACAGCAAATGCTTTCACAGATCTGTGTGTCTTTACAGTAGTTCAGAGTCAAAACCCCCACACTAGCTCACAACCTTCCTGCTATCCATGGCCAAGATCCAAGAAATAGAGAGTCCCTCATCCCCTTCTTAGTCTGTGTCACACATCCAATTCAAGTGTGATTTGATTTCTCTAGACACCCATGCCCTTTCTTAAACACAAGATGATCCAGTGTGAGCCCTGAACAGTGATGACCCATCCATACAAATAAATTTGGTTATGAATAATATCAGAGAAGTGTCTGACATTAAAACCCCATCTTCTGTCAACATAGCTTAACAAAAGGCATCACTCCATATAGAAGGGGACAAAGTAGCTAAAAACAAGTAGGGATACTTGAAAGGCAAAAAGAGCAGGGCTCAGTGATCTTTAGATATGCTACCAAGGTGAGAGTTAACACTGCTTAACCATTTGAGGACACTGGGTACAAATAGCATGGTATGATAGGGTCAGGGAGACAGCCACGGTGGCGAAGGATTTGCTGTACAAGCAGGGAGACTTGAGTTTGACCGTTGAACACACGTTTTAAAATATTTTTTTAAAAGCTGAGCATGGTGATGCATACTTGTAATCTCAGCTCTAAGGAGGCAGAGATAGGCAGTTCTGTAGAGTTCACTGGGCAACCATCTTAACCAACCCCCCATCATAGACTTTGTCACAACGAGGAATTGGACAGCTCCTGACGAACACCACCCAAGTTTGGCCTCTGGTTTCCATACTCACGTGCACCTGCTAACACACACACACAGGACTATATATACATGTGCCCACATTCATACACAAACATGCAATAAAGAAATGGTATGATAGCTTCCCACTCCAATTCTATGCAGTACTTTTTGAGTGTGGGCAAGATCTGTTTCTAGCTAATGAAACATGCCAATGAGTGTCTACACTGCATTGTATTAGACTCTACTCTGTTGCCAGCATCACTGTAGAGACTATCTTCCCTCTCGACAGGAAGCAGCCAAGTTGAAAAGATCCATTCATCAAGAAGCTGCAGGTGACCAGTAAAGGACAGCCAGTAAGTAGCCACCACCATCCAGCACACAGCCACTGTCTTCCTCTATACCACAAGAACTTGTCATGATGTCTCAGCCAGAGGAGTAAACTGAAGCCTTGCAGAAGCCACAGGTATGAGCAGACCATCAAGCTCAGATGCCCCTCCCTGCCACCCTTCACCCTTTCCCTCCTCTCACCCAACCCTACAGCTGTCCTGCCAAGAGAAAGAAGTCCTGGGAAAGTCATGCAAATCTCTGTCGGTCTCTCACACTCTCAAACTAGGAAGTAAATGGAGAAACGCTGCTCTCATCTGGCTGTTCCGAACCAATTCTCATTATAGTGATTTACATGAACAGGGGTGTAAATTTGCATACCATCAAGTGTTTAAGATTAACTTGTGCACATTTGATTTGATTTGATTTGATTTTGGCCTTAAATTCTTCATGGATGCTGAGCCTCCGTGGTTTTTTTCCTTCCAAGTAACTGAGCTTTACACCAAAAATTAAAACTGCCACAGCCAATGACTTTCTTCAAATGTGCGTATTCGCTTTGGGAAAGGACAGCCGGGCGCAGTTGGAAGGCTTTTCGGCACTGAAATGGCCCTGGTCCAGTGATCAATACTCACACAGAAGTGTCCTTAAATAGGAAATAGAATTTTAATAGGAATCTCTGCAGAGCTCCAGGCAAGAGTTTGCATAATACAACCTCCTGCCAGCAGTATAGTGGTTTGAGGAGAGGGAGGGTCCTGTCATACTTCCACAAGCAGAAAGAATTTCATATGCACTTAAACCTACCTCTGGAATTTGTTCACACCTGTCCACTGGACTTACAGTGCCAAAGCCGGGATGGGTGTGGCCCATCGACCAGTCTCTGTAAAATCCTATAACAGGACTTTACATAAGGACCAAAAGTGACACCACATACCTCTTGGCCCTGGAAAATGACAGGGGAAAGCAGGTTTTATGAGCTGCACTGACATACTGTGTCTCAGTGTGATTAATCCATCTCAGGAAAGTGACTTGAAGAGCCAATTAAAGGCAGCTTAGAGGAGCTACTTTGCATTGTCTCTTTATTCTGTTCCAGGCGACAATTGTACCTGTCAGGCAAGCTGTGAAAAACTATCAATTTTGGCAGCATGAATTTTCACAGGAAAACAAGAACCATTGCCCTGGGAGAGAGCAACTGTCCTCACAGTGCAAATCCCCATGCCCAAATGAGGTCTTTGTTGCCAGTGGCTTCCATGACAAAATGGGGACTTTGCTGCTGGTTTGGGGAGGGGGGTTCCCAGCACCAGGGGTATTGTCTGCTGGGTTGGGCCTCTTTTCTGCCTCCCCATCTCCTTCTGCTCTTCAATAGGAGAGGATAAGCACCTTCACATCTAAATTCAAGCAAGGCAAATGCACGCTATCCTAGAGGATCGCAGAGAAGAAGAAAAGGAAGAAAGGATGAGAACGGTCAGGAGGGGTGGGGGGAGAAAGTCCCTGAGTCAGTCATCTTCTGTGACCAGACAAGGCCTCGAGTGGAGGAACTGGGATATCAACCCAGCCCCGAAACCCTTAAACTATAGTTTGTCCTGCCTGCAAAGTGTTCTGCAGAATGGTCATCAAAGAGACCAGAGGAACTTCATCCAGCAACCGAAGGGAGCAGGCACAGAGTCAAACATTAGATGGAACTTGAAAAGCCCAGAGGAGGAGGGGCAGGAAGGGTTGGAAGAACCAGAAGCATCAGGAACACCAAGAGAGCACGGCCCACAGAATCAGTTGACTGGGACTAATGGGAGCTCGCAGGTATCAGGGAACCTGTAGGGGTGTGACCCAGGTCCTCTGCATATATGTTATGGCGGAGTAGCTTGGTGTTCTTGTAGGATTCCTAACATAGGGAGTGAGGGTGGTCACTGACTCTTTTGCCTGCTTGTGGGACCCTTTTCCTCCTACTGGGTTGTGTGGTCCAACCTTGATGTGATTTGCCTAGTCTTATTGTCGCATATTATTCTGTGTTTCGTGGCTGTCACTGGGAGGCCTGCTCTTTTATGAGCTGTGATGGAGGGGACATGTATCTGGGGGAGAGGAAAGATGGGAAGGAGAAGCTGGGGGGAGGGGAGGGAGAGAAAACAGCGGTCAGGTTGTAATATATGAGAGAATAGTAGTAGTAGTAGTAGTAGTAGTAGTAGTAGTAGTAGTAGTAGTAGTAGTAGTGGGAGGAGGAGGAGGAGGAGGAGGAGAAGAAAGACTTATATCCTAGATAAAATTATTGTCCAGTTTAAGACAAGAAACAGAGCTAAAGAGATGACTCAGTCAGTAAAGGGTTCACATGAAAGCACAAGGAACCAAGTTTGATTCCCAGCACCCACATAAAAGCCAGACCCAATGGTGTGCACCCTTAATCCAAGAGCTGCGAAGGAAGAGACATAGGGATACTTGGAACTTGCTAATCTTTCAGTTTAGCAAAACCAGTCACTCCACTTTCATCGAGAGACCCTGTTTCAAAATATAAGCTGGAAAGCAATAAAGGAAGACACTTGACATAGACCTCTGGCCTCAACAAACAAGCATGCATACATTCACATGCACCCAAGGGTACATACTTACATGCACACATGGACATGCAATACATGAACAAATAACTGAAGGTAGAGCCATGGTTATATTCAGCATAATTGTGATTTCTTGACACCCCCCCTCATTCAACTCTTTTGCATCAAACAAGGTAGCAATGTATTTTTTAGTAGAAAGCAAACAAATAAAAAACCTCTAACCCTTATGCTTAATGCTCCTCTCTGAAAACAAGACCTGCTTGCCCCAGCACTCAACCTATGGACGGGCAGATGGTCCAGGCTGCCACTAGAAAAAAGCAAACACTCCCAGGCTTGGTCCAGGTGGCTGCATAGGTCACTGCTCCACAGAGGTGAGCTAGTGACTGCCAGTGGCTCAGATGTCATATACAAGTGAAATGGCTAGCTCAGCCTGTGACTCGGGTTCTGTGGCTCAGCTCGGGTAGGGTTACAAGTTTCTTGTGATGCCTGTCAACTTCTGGTAAGCACAAATATCCACTCATTTGCCTTTCCAGGAGTTCAAGGCTATACCTGGTAGGCAGGGTCAGACAGAGACAGAGCTGTGAAGCCAAGAGAGGAATTCTGTGAACCCCTGAGTTACCCTTCTGAGAACAATGGGGAATTTTGCAAATAAAATAGAGGATCCATGGGTTCCATCGTCTGCTTCAGGGACCTGAAAGTCTGTGTAGCTCCCAGATTCATTAGGCGGATAGTCCTGATATGTAGCCTCCAAAGGCCTTGAGAAAAACACACAAGTTAGTTATAATTAAGATCATTTTATCGTGGGGCTAAGGAGACAAGTCATGGGTGAAGTGTTTGCTGTGCAAGCACAGGACCTGGGTTTGATCCCTAGCATCCATGTGAAAAAGTCAGTTGTGTGGCATATGCTTCTAGAGGCATCCCTGGGCTAGTGAGAGACCTAAGGAAGTAAACCTAAGGCTGTCCTGTCTATCCATCCATCCATCCATCCATCCATCACACCATACACACACACACACACACACACACACACACACCCCATACATGCACCCACACATGCACACACACACCATACATACACCCCTACACACACACACACCATACATACACCCCTACACACACACACACACACCATATATGCACCCACCCACGCACATATACACACACACTCACACACACACACACACACACACACACACACACACACACACTGGGTGGTGCCTTGGCCAAAATGATAACTCCTTCACAAAGCATCCTACATACTTCTGGAACCAAGCAACCTGAGACCTGATAAACCATGTTCACCCAAGCAACACCAGAGCCTAACTCTGGACTTGGATTTCCAGAGATACTTAAGAAATGGCATTAGATAGAAGAGGAGGGAAGGAGAAAAGACTTACTTTGTATAGTTAGTTGGTTTTCTTGGTTATCAGAGATAAGGGTAAAAGTAAAGCAACCAGTGTGCAGCAAATATATCTGGCATGTTTCCAATCACTTCATTTCATTGTAAGTACTTTTATTTCCATATATATACATATATGTATATATGTGTGTATACATATATAATATGCAATATATATACATATATATATATATGAAAAACTGAGGCTTAGAGCCATTAAATAACTTTCCCACAGCTATAGAACTATTAAGGCTCAGAACTGGAAATTCTAACCTCTGGCCCATCTGATTAAACCCTGTAGTGTTTTCTCTTACAAATTGTCTTCTTAGGCTCATAAAATATTTGGATCGAAACGGACCTTAGCAATAATCTTATCTGAACTGTTTGAGGCCAAAGAGGTTAAGTCACTTGCTTCAGGTCACCTAGTTGGTGCATAGTAGAGCCAGGAATCCATTTCTTCCAACCTCTGGCATTATCCTCAGCCTCTCCAAAGAGCTGTAACCAAGTGTGACATTATCCTATCAAATAATCTCATTAGGAAACAGTGCAGGTGTTTTGGAAATAAAGTTACCACTCTCTGACTTTCATAAATGGAACCAGGAAGTAAATAGGTCATTAGCCTCCTCACATTCCCAGAAAGAAGTCCTGGGGGCAGCAGGAACTCTCTAGAAGTTTTGTTGAGCCATCAAAACTCGCCCAAATAGACACAAGGAGTCAGTGAGGCCAGAAATAGGAAAAATTGTTCGTCAGATGGCTCCCATATGCGGATCTTCACACCTCAGTAACCTTCGTGCCCATGGACATCTTGCCATCATCTTCTGAGGACTGCTCTCTGTCAGCATTTTCAAGAAGGCTAAGCAGACACTCCGAGAAGACCAAGTATGCTCTTAGCTGATGACAGTACTTGAACTGCAAGCAGACTTCACGGGCAGCCCCCGAGCTTGATGCAGAAGAGGTTGTTTGGTTCATGTTCATCTCCTGGGTGGAGTCTGCTTCTATTTTCTCTGTCTTGGTCCCTGTTACTCTATTCCTCTTGGTGTCCTCTCTCCTATAACTTCCCATTGCCCATACTCTACTCTTATTATCTCCAGAGTGGCTTAGATTCTTTATACTGGGGGTAGGGGAGGAACAGTTTAATCCCCTCACTGTGACATTTTTGTGGTTTTCTTTGGGACACTCTAATTTGTACAGTTTCTGGCCTCCCATGCTTCATCACACATGGCCATCTTTTCCGGTGACTGCCTCCCACAGACAGTCTCATTTCTCTAATAAATCTGTAACTGCTTAGAGGCAGGAGCCAAGGGGAGTGCTTCTTGTTTGCTCTCTGTAGAGGTTCACAGAAGCACCATGAGACAGAGGGTATCTGGAGAACATCTGCGAATGAATGTGCTGGCAGCTTTCAGGTAGGACCCACCTTGACTGTAATGTGATCACCCTGGAAGAAGAGGGGAGCAAGGCTTGAGGAAGAAGAGGCCATTCCAGAATCCAACCACGGAAGATGCCAGACTCGGCCCCACAAAGACTGCACGTACTCTAATGTTGACACTGCTCAGGCCATGTCCGGGCCATGGAGACAAAGAATGAAGAAGGATTAAGTCAGCTACCATCCGGTGATGCATGGAGAGTGATGGAGTAGCAGATTAGGCCCAGAACCAATGGATTAAAAGGTATCTCTGAAGCTGTGTGTGTTGAAAACTGGTTCAAGGATTAGCTTTGAATCATAACCCAACCTGCCTGTCAATTCCCACTTCATGTGACAAGCTGTGCTCAGAGAAACCCGATTCTTTGCGGAGATAGCTTTATGTGAAGGGAAACAATGCAAGGGGTGGAGCTGTCCCCAACCTTCCTCCTGGCTCATCTTGTCATTTGCACTGATTGCCCAGAAGGCTGTTTAGCAATACACCGCCCCCCCGCTCTGCTGAGCTAGAAAGTGTGTGTCATGGAGCCACAGGACCTTGTCCTGGCTTTGCCTCTACTAGACTCATAATCTTAACTAAATTACTTCCTGTTTTTTGGTTTCCTTCATGACACTTGGTTTCCCTGTGTGCAGAATGAAGACAGTAATGCCCACACCCAAAGGTTGGTATGAAAATTCAATGAGTTCACATACGCAAAGTCTTTTGAATGGTTCCTAACATGTACA